TAAAAAAAAAAAAAAAGCATTTAGGGTACTTTGGTTTAGATCACAGCTGTTTTATATCTTTATGTGAGTGGCTATGAAAGATGTCATCAAGTAACAGAATGACACTGAATCACCGCCTTCTGAGGCAGGCTGCTCCTTTGTGAAAAAGCTCATGCAATCTGAAAGTTATTCCTAACGGCTAGCGAAAATATCTTTCCTGTCATTATTCTAGGATTTCCAGCTGCTCTGACCTACAACTCCCACAACCCTTCACTGTTGGCTGTACTGGCAAGGGCTGATGGGGATTGTAGGCTGAAGCATCTGGGGTCTACAATTTGCCTGCCCCTGCTTCAGAGCAACACAAAAGAGATTTTGTCCGTGGTGTATGTGATAGCCATTCAGGCATTGGAAGATGTGCATCACATTGCCTCATAATCATCTCTCCAGCTTAAGCATTCCCAGCTCCTTCAACCTTTCTTCATGAGACTAGGATCTCCAGGCCCCTTGCCACCTTTGTCACCCTCCTCCGGACAGTTTCCGGCTTGTCAATTCCTTCCTTGTTCTACTCATTGAAGAAACTTTCCAGCAATGGCACACCTCTTTTTTCCCCTATAGCTGTCACCAAGACTCCACAGCTGTCTTTGCAGGCTCTTTGCCTTATCATTTGAGGGTACTCTCCTTAACATTACTTGGCACATAAGCAGATGGATCACCAGAGCATATAAATGTGTAACCATGCTATTGTTTCTTGAAAACCAACATGGCCCCTTGGGATCAACATATTGTGCAGCTTATACTTCTCTTTAGCCTGATTTTTATCTGTTCCTTCGAGTTGCTCTCTGCAGGGTCAGTGGTCTTCTCCCAATGTATATTTGTTCTTGCTTTCAGGGGAGCTCAGAGACACTCTGGCCTCAGACTTTGTTCAACACTACCTTTGCTGAGGGCAGTCTACTGCTTGCTTCTGTCTGGTTGGACACGGGAATCATGCCCAACCAATCTAAGAGACCACATCAAGAAAGAACGTAATATTGCCATCGTAGAGACATCCGCTTTTCCCACGACAGCAACAATATCAGTGTTCTAGCACCTGACTGGTTAATCTCTGGCTAAGGCATAATTCCTTTCCTTCTGTATTCTGCTATAAGCTCATCTTCCTACTTCTTATTTATACTCAGAAAAATGAAATAATGAATAACAACAACAGAAAGTGTTTAAGAACCAGCTGCCATCTGATCAAAAACATTTTAAAATAGAAAGTGTCTTTGGCAGTTCAGCTTCTAGGGAGCCTGCTGTTGCTTTCTTCCCTTTTCCCTCCTTTCCCTCCCCTCTCTTCATTCCTTAATGCCAAGCCCCTACCTATAGATGTCTTGGGGAAGCAGCTTAATGATGTGGTCTTTAAAAATTATTTTTGGACCGTCCACCTGCACTTGCAGGAGCTGCTGCCTATTCCATTACACTTTGTTGCCATGGCAACGTTTGTGATGTAACACCGAGAAAGGTGATGTTGAGCAGGAACTTACAGCAGGTGATCACAGATGAAAAACAACTCTTTTCTTGCCGCAGATGTCTCCAAGTTGCAAAAACAACAGCCAATAGAGCAAAACAGAACAACAAAGGCTGATGATAAAGAAGAAAGAAGTGATGAATAAATCTAAAATGATTTAAAATCATCTCCTTGAAAGCATATTCTACAAATAGCTGAAAAACCTTTGAAGATGGAATAATCCCTCTCTCTTCTTTTGCATCCCGGGGTGATTTAAAAAAAAAAACCCTGTACTTCTTTTGTTTTGAATACAGTTACACTTGAGAAAATGTGGCAATGCTAATAACGTATTTATCCCTACTGCCGCCTCAGTATCTTGGAGTGCAAAACTCCAATCCTTCATCTAACAGCTAGTAGTTGGATAACTGAGGCCATGAAAGAAAGATTCAGGGGTTGTGTGGTTGCCACAACTTTGCGAGTGCTCATTGATAAGCTATTTATTTATTTTCTTGAATGCTATCCTGCTGCTGTGCATCAAAGTCGGACTACCCACTCGGCACACAGTTTTGTGTCTCATCTGAAAGGCAGAGCTGGCCGAACACAGCAGAATCTTTAAAAACTCCATTTGCAAAAGACACCTTCTCTCTGTAAATGGATATATACTCCAAATATATACTCTAAATTCAAGGTGTTGGTGATGACCTATAAAGCCCTAAACGGCTTGGGTCCTGGCTACCTGAAGGAGCGCTTACGTCCATATACGCCCCCCCCCCCGCCTGAGATCTGCGGGAGAGGCCCTTCTCCGGGAACCCTCCGTGAAGGAAATTAAGAGGGTGAGTACCCAGAGGAGGGCTTTCTCTGCGGTGGCACCCAAACTATGGAATGCGCTCCCCTGAGAGGTCCTCCTGGCGCCGTCGTTATTTGTTTTTCGGCGCCAGGCGAAGACCTTTTTATTGAAACGTCATTTTAATTGCTAATATTATTTGCTTAATTCTTCGGCCAGGGCGACTTATTTTATAATGTTAATGTGTTTTATATTTTTAGTGTTTTATATTTTAACTGTTGTTTTGTAAGCCACCCCGAGGCTTCGGCGAATGGGGCAGCATAGAAATTTTTTAAATAAATAAATAAATGCTCCACAGCTATTGTAATGTTGTGAGCCACCCTGAGGCTTTGTTGCGATGGGGCGGCATAGAAATGTTTTAAATAAACAAACAAACAAATAAATAAATAAATCTGCCATACTGCAAATATTCCACATCTTCATTTTGGCCAGCTATGCACCATTGTGAAATATGTGGAGAATATGGCCATCTATGGCTATTCATCATGATGACTGCCAGCAGTTGAAGAAGCATACTTTTCAGTACCAGTTGGTAGGAAACATGGTAGCCTGCCATGCCCATTTAACTGGCCTGCCCCACAGGTTACCAGCCTGTATCCAGCCTGCCTTGCCCATTTAACTGGCCCACCTCACAGGTTTTGCACTCGCTGGGCATGTGCCTTGCTTGCAAGGAGGTTTTTTTGGACTTGCTCGGAGAAAATGATCTTGCGGCACCTCAGCCCGTGCACTCCCCTGTCCCCACCTCACCTTGCCCCATCCCTACACCTGCCCACGCCCCCCCATACCAGCACCACCTTGGTGGCCTGCGCCCACCACTGGCTCCTGTCAAGTGACCCCATTGAAGAAGCTTGAGGACTTCTTTGGCATCATGAAAGTGACCATGAATCCCCTGTGTGAAACTGAACTTAAAATTTGCTGTGAGACCGATATGTTTTTTCACAGTGAAGGCAACCAAACTCTGCTCTTATTCATTCTAATTGAAGTATTCCCCACGTTCCCACTGACTTCAGAATATGAGCACATTTTTATTCATTTGTCTCTGAAAGTTGATATCCATTCATAACCATAACCATGCAGCCTTTTTTACAAAATGCATTAACATCAGTAAAACAATAATAAATGTTTTGAAAACCACACAACACATAATGGAATGATCTCTACACCTCCCTACACCTTTTGCTGTAAATTTTAACTAGAAGGTCATTTTGAACTGTCCAACTGGGTGCTTTGGGAGAAGAGAGAAGGAGGTTGCAGCTTGTATCCTGACTTATGTAGTCTCCCTCCATCCCCACCCCAAAATATCCCCTTTACCTTCCCCAACCTCAGAGAGGCAGCTGGCATAGGTGTTCCTGCACCTGCTGCAAGAGCTGAGGGAGTGCAGATTCCAAACTCCAAGATGGACCAGTGTTTTGGAGGTAGAAACTGGGAATCCAAAATATTCTATGCCCCCCAGCCAACATCTAGAGACCACAAGATAGCTCTTCCCAGATAACTTAATTTACTTATAAATCTATAAATCTATCATTCCTTTCATCCCAGGATGCTTTCATGCCAAATGGTTTGTTTTCATTGATTGGGAATGGAGTGCCACAACTGAAATGGAAGATTCTGAAGATACCCTTGTCAAGCCTATTATCTCCTCCACTTTTGGCTGTCTAGTCTAATTGAGACACACAATGTCAGAAAATTATCCATCTTGAACTAGCTCTTGGCATTTGGTTGGCAGTGTTATCCCACCTGCCTTTTGGGACAAGAATGACACTTTACTTGGAGCCACCATTGAAATGAAATTCACTGCCAAGTTGTGTTACCGCTTTATGTTTGAATCTACACTTTCCTCTAGATTACTTGTAGCTACTTCTGCTTCCTCTCTTCCTCTTTCTCTTTAACCTCTGTTGATGCTCTTTGAGCATTGTGTACTTCATTTACAGCTATGTGATTTGGAGTGTTTTATGCACACCTTGAACTATGCTTTTTTACTTTATTACAAGTGACCTTTGTTCTGCAATGGCTCTCAATTCTAAGCAATTGACATTTATTGGGAATGGAGAGCCACAAAGAGTTGCATGTCTGGCTTTGCCTTCTGGAGCATTGTCTACCAGAGGAGCTGTTCTTGATATTTTGTTCCATGGAAAGAAAAGCTCCTAAAAAGTCCTGATTGACACAGGAAAGGGAGGCGTATGAAATTGTGATCATATCTGTATTCAGGTATAAAGATACTGCTGGGATTTCTATGGGCTGGTTTAAGCTTGCCCTTGGTTGGAGACATGTTTTCTGAAAGCAGTCTGGTGTGTATGATCATGAGGAGCAGTAGAAAAGTCAGTTAACCCAACCTGTAATGGAAATGTTATTTCAATTGCCTCCACACCTAGCCAGTGTAAAGAACCTTTAGCACTTCACTGAAATTTGTTGATATGAAGTACAATGAAACATTTTGTCTTTCCCTTAAGCTATATGTGTCTTCCAGTCTGAGAAAAGAAAGGCATATTTTAGAGAGAAGCAAAGAATGAACTCCATTCAGTTTCAATTGGACAATGTTTTTGTGATTCAAGCAGTTACTATTTCATTCACTTCCTATAAATAAGCTTCTGCATCATCACACCAAGGTGATTTTGGTGACTTGTCCAGCCAGGCAAGTTTTGCTATGCTATGGATCTGGATTAAACACGTGCTTGTACTTATCACTGTCTCCAGGTAAAGGACCAGAGACCCTTTATGCTGGGCAGAAACTCAATGACAATGAGTGGCACACTGTCCGGGTGGTGCGTCGGGGAAAGAGTCTCAAGCTGACAGTGGATGATGATGTTGCTGAAGGTGAGTCGATGCATCTTCTCCAATTTCTAGTTTTGACATACATAAAGTGTTTCAGTTCAGGTTGTTTCCTATGCTTAATGTTGAGGCTTTTCCCTGTTATTCTGGTAAATAGGACAGCATCCCAAGTCCAAACATGCACACGTATCGCCACACCAGTGGAGCAGGTGGGGCAGTGGTGGCCCATGCCTGCTCTGCTGTTTTCAAAATATAACGCACAACATAAAGTTGGAATTGTGTGAGTCATTTCCAAAACTGAGAGGAAAGGTGGTATGAAGGACCTAAATCATACATAAAGTCTGTGATAGGATGTGCCAACTTGACACTGAAGAACAAGGTCATCAACATCTCTATCAAGCCAAAGTCTCCAATTAATTCCAAGAACACAAAGAAAAGCAAAGAGAAGAGGAGAGTGTGAGAGATTACCAAGCTTTTCTGCTTATGTTCGTAATCATCCATTGATGTGGAGGGTGAAGGAGAAGCAATGCAGCCACTGGCAACTTCCTTTGATAGCAGCACTTCATTCCTTTGCCATTCAGACTTCTCAATAATATCTTATAATCCTCTGTGACCTTTCTTGAGTTAGGAAAGGGGTGTGGGATGCTGCAACAACTGGATCATACTCTAAATAAGGAATTTTCTGTCATCCTGAAAAGATCTGGAAGGTTAACTTTCAAGAATCTGGAGTTGAGTTTATGAAGATGCCATGCATTCTATTGGCCTTGAGGAAGGACTAAAAGAATGTCATGCAGAGAGAGTTGGACATGGAAATCCAACTCTCACATGCATGCGTGTGTTGTTCTGTGAATAGACATAGGATACCAAATTTTTGGAATACCAAATTTTTGAGCTGTTCAATATGTTATAGAGAACATATCTCCCAAGAAGATGAATTAGGGGGAGGTAGGCAAGGTGCGAGGAAGAACTGCTAACAAAAATATACATGTTCCTGTATTCAAGCCCTGAATTTACAGCAGCTGACTGCACAATCCTATGGTTGTTTACTAGCACCAGGTGTGCATGTTTAGGATTCCTGCCTTAACACCTGGTTAGGTCTGTTTGTAAGTCTCTCCATCTGTGAGGAATGCAGTTTGGAGAGACAGTCGCTTGATGGCACACACTGCATTAACAGGACAGCGAAGCCTCAGCATGCAGAAAAGAAAATGTGTGTGCATGCGCTGGTGTGGAGGGAGAAGCCAATTCATAGCCCATTGTTGACAGCTCTAACTTCGTAAACCCAAATGTGAATTCCTAAGCCATAGTGAATTTCTCTTATTTGTTAGGACGTACAATATATATTAGTGCATATGGAATAGAAATAAATATGCCTATGACCTGTGATGGAGACCAGCTATACAAGCAGTAGTTGATATATGAACAGACCTGTGTGCACATATGCGTATGCAAATGAGTGTGTGTGTGTACGTACACATGAGAAATGCATAGCTTTATAAATATATGTTTGTGTGAACATGGTAGAAGTGATTTAATTAGAGTCTTTTTCTGGAAGGAAATAATTAAGGGCCTGCACAGGGACATGCCATGCCCAAGTGAAGAGGTAATTTGTTGTTTGAAGTTAACGAGGCTGTTTTATCCATTGCCTTCTTCCTCCTTACCCCCTGCCACGTCGCTGAGCAGAACTGAATGATAACCAAAATAACATCAGACATTAGGGTGAAGCCATTTCTCCTTGTGCAAAGCAGCAGGATGGCTCACGAGCACATTATCATTTTTATGATTGTGTCCACATTTTTGTTCCCCCTCTCCTTTCTCTCCTGATCCCCTCACCCTTGACAATTTAATTGGCAATCTTCGGGCAGGGAAACAGGGCAATCTGATACTGAAGTGTGTCTGAATAGTTGCATGTGGAAGACCCAATTTGGGTAAGGTGATAAATTTGCTAGTGCTTAGAAACAGAGTGAGTTCGAAGGGGTCTCCCAGGCCATCTAGTCTGACCCCAGCTCCAGCCAGCTTCACTCATGACATGCCTACTATGTGCATGTCCAGCCTATCCTTGAACATCCTCACCAATGGGGCTTCAGTTGTAAGATTAAACTGGTGCCACTGAACACTCAGTCTCATTCATTCATATCCCACCCTTCTTCCAAGTTGCACAGACTGGGTACTTCATTTTACTTCATACCCATTTTACTGGGTACTTCATTCATTCATTTTACTTCATTAGGCCAAGGGCATCCTGTGAGTGGAGATTTGAACTTGGAACTCATTAGCTCAATCCACCTTCTAGTAAGATGATGATGATGATGATGATGATGATGATAGCTTTTTTCCTCCCATCTTAAGAAGGGTGTGTATTCCACTGCTTTCCCAAAGTCTTGCATCTCAGATGTGTTAATATCTTAGAATCCAGTTGTGGTGTTCACTTCCTCCATCAGGTGAGAGGGGAGGATGAGCCATGGAAGCCTGGGGGAAAGATAGGGTCATTCTCAGTACCACTAAGACATCCACAGGATCCGGTACCCCAGAGTTTCTTTTTATCTTTACATTACTGAAAAAAATAATTGTACTGGCCTGAATCTGTCTGTCAGGTTGTAGGGACAAACTAAAAGAGACAGGTATCTCAGGTTTAAGGTTTTGAGCAGTATATCCTGTTATGACCTTTCACAACTGGTTCCCTCCAGATGTTTTGAACTGCAGAACCCATTGGCCTCAGCCAGCATGGTCAATGATCAGGAATGCTGGGACCTGTATTTCAAACATCAGGAGGGTGACAGGAATGCTGGAAATCCTGGGACCTATAGCATTCAGCTGGGAATGCAGGAACCAATAGCATTCAGAAATGCTGGGGCTTATAGTACAAACATCTGGAGGGTGCCAGGTTTGGTAAGAATGTCTAATTACAACACATTTTCAATCTGTATGACAAAGTATCTATGGTCTAATGCAGGGGTATCAAGCCTTCTTCAGCCCAGGAGCCAACTTTAATTTCACGATTCTCTCAGGGGTCACATTCCAGAGATGGGCTGGGACAAAGGCAAGAAGGGTCAGCACAAACAATACCAGTGTACTTTGTTTGACACTTATGACCCAAGAATAAGCCTTAGGAGAGTCATCCCAGCTTTGTTGAAAGTAGCTTGTGCAAAAGCAAGAAAACCACTAAACATCAGTATTTGGAAGAAAGGAGATGGGGCCGGGGAAGGCAGCATGGCCATGAGAGCACCATGGAGGACAAAATTGCATTCCAGATATGACCCATGTGCCTGCGGTTCGGCATCCTGGTCTATAGAATTCTTTGACCATATTGTCATCTTAGTTTTTCCATGCATGATCTTAGGCTTATTTCTTATTTAATGTTCTTAAAATGTAAGGGATGCTATTGTTAAATCCTGATAGCAACACATAGCATATACCGTGATGCATCAGTTTAGTGAGTCGTAGATTATGACAGCAAAACCTACACTAAGATTTACCAATGCTTCTTAAGTGCATGCATTTTGTAAAGGATGTAGAGATGGTATTGATGATTCATTGGAACTGATGTAAATGCTGATGTACTTTTGCTTTGTGCAATGGGACATTCATCCTATGGCCATGTTAATTTATAACTTTGATTTTGTATGTTTATTCAAAATAGTGACACTCTCATTCTGGTCGTTACTGTGAGTGATGCCAGATAATAAATGGAATGCTGATGAGATTACTGGATCTTTGAAGCTTTCTTGAGTCATGCCTCTTCCACTTGGCTTGCACTGAACTACAACTGGTACCTTTCCCATCCAGTTTGCACTGTAAGGAAGAGGTTTCGCCTCCAGTTTCCTGAAACTTGGGACTTCCATTCATTTTCCAAAACTCTTTTCACAAGAGTAAAGGAAAGACTGATCACTGGCAAAACTAACAGCCATGCTTAAATTCCAACACTTTTCCTCCACATAAGGGAGGGGAATGTGGCCAAAATTCTGCAATGCTTTATTTACCTCTTCTGGACTAGAGGGCAAATCTGGTGTGGCTTCTTTCCTCCATTGCTTTGTAGTGCCTTTGATGAGTCTATTTAAAGGAATTCACTGAAAGTATCTGTTCTAGTAACAAAAAGCAAAAAGATGGCATTGCCTTGGGGGTAAAATTATTGTTGCTCCTATTAGGTGCAGAACTTTAATCAGCTTCATTGTCTTCTGATCCACAGGCACAATGGTTGGTGACCACACCCGCTTGGAGTTCCACAACATTGAGACTGGGATAATGACAGAGAAGCGTTACATCTCTGTCATTCCCTCCAGCTTCATTGGCCACCTCCAGAGTCTCATGTTCAATGGTCTTCTCTACATTGACTTATGCAAGAATGGTGACATTGACTACTGTGAACTGAAAGCCCGGTTTGGTCTTCGTAACATTATTGCTGATCCTGTCACCTTCAAGACCAAAAGTAGCTACCTGAGCTTAGCAACCTTGCAGGCTTACACTTCCATGCACCTCTTCTTCCAGTTCAAAACAACCTCTGCTGATGGCTTCATCCTTTTCAACAGTGGGGATGGAAATGATTTCATTGCAGTAGAGCTGGTAAAAGGGTGAGTGCGATTTTACATTCACTCTCGGAGTTTATAAGGTTGGTCAGTCCATGCGTCCAAACATTGATTTGCTACTCTAGCTTTATATTTCCAGTTTTCTTGAGAAAGTATCTTGAGTACCATAGAAACAATGAGTTGTATTCAATATAACTTTAACCTAAGCCTCATTCATTTTAGTGGCTTGACTCTAGGTAGATCAGCACTGCATACAGCCCAATAACGTCACATGTTCTGCTCCTAACCAGCCTGCTTATTATGTTCTGTGTCCATAAACAGCTCATTAGAACAACTTGCTATTCCATTTTATTAGACTTTAGAATGAAATGTTTCCATTATTTGGTATTTTCTCTGTCTTGGCCAGTTACCCATTTTCATGCTAAGCTTTCTTTTGAGCAGGTATATACATTATGTGTTTGATCTTGGAAATGGACCTAATGTCATCAAGGGCAATAGTGACAGACCATTGAATGACAACCAGTGGCATAATGTAGTCATCACTCGAGATAACAGCAACACCCATAGCCTAAAAGTGGATACCAGGATTGTAACTCAGGTTATCAATGGGGCCAAAAACCTTGACCTTAAGGGTAAGTAACTGAATATCAGTGATCAATTTAGGGTTGATCCACCTGTGGAAGCTTCTCACCTCATGTCCTCTCCAGGTTCAGTCTTTGTCATAAGAAGTTATAGAATGTCATAGGTAGCAGCTCTGGGAAAGACCTCCTCTCCTGAGACCTTGATGCCAGATGGCGTAGACACTACTGCGCTAAGGATTTTCATACATTTGTATTTATTTTATTTAAAAGATTTATAAGCCACAATTTATATATCTGTAATTGTCCAATTAAAAGTATTATTTTTGTTTATATTGGATAATACAAAAAATAAATTTCTGAATGTATGTGTGCAATGGTCACTTCATATAAAGAACTTCCCAAAATGAATAAAGAAACTGGTCATGACCAAACAATCAACTTGACATTTGGGGTAGATAAATCTATAAAATTCAGTTCTACTCAGTTTCTCATTTTCCCTGCATTAACTTGTTCTATCCCATTTATGCATCAGAAAGTATGCATTTTGTAAGTTCACTTTAAATTCCAAACCCAGTTCTTTTCTTACCCAGTCGTGCCTGTAACACGGTGAACATTGGTCCAGGATTATACTACTGCAGAGCAGAAGTTATGGATTCTGTGACTGACTGTACCACCCCCACCCCCAGGGATAATAGAACATGTGCATGTGCACACACATGCAAAGAATCTAAGAATGTGTCAGTCAGTCAATTTCCAGTGTATGCCACTTTCACCCAAAAGGCCATTCTGCCCCATTTCCGCATTGACATTTCCCTATTTTGAAAGCAAAATTTGCACTGAAATATGTAAAATTTGCATTAAACACACATTTCAGGCTTAGAAGCCTATGGAACCTAGAGGATAGCTAGAGGGTCCTGGGGATTTTTTGGATTCCCAGCCATGGATCTGGGAATTCTCAGCTGCATTCCTTCCCCTGCCCCCACTCACAGCTGTGAACACCCCATAAACTCTGAAGAGTTGTTTGTTGGAGAGCATTGCGGCACATGGTTCTCATACTGCACAAAACAAGCTACTGCAATTATTGAATATGTGGAGAAGTTTGTCTCTATAGATAAAGGAGAAAAGCTTGTATTTGCTGTACATAAATGCAGACATGTGCTCCAAGGTGTTGTCTTGATTCTCATTTTGCATTTTCTTTCTTTGATATCTACTTTAAGTAAAATAGCTCTCTGTTTCTATAATTGACTGTTGTTTATACTGCATAGTGTTCTTTACTCTTAGCATCTTTTTACTGTTAGTATAATCTGCCTTCTTAAAGAGATAAATCTTGCAAAGTATAATGCAAAACACACTATATATCTGAAAGGCACAGCTATTTGACTTGCTTTGTATTTTCCTTACCCTGTTGCCTGTTTCCCTCCAGGTGATCTTTATATTGCTGGCCTGGCTCAAGGAATGTACAGCAACCTGCCAAAGTTGGTGGCATCCCGTGATGGCTTTCAGGGCTGCCTAGCATCAGTGGACTTGAACGGGCGCCTGCCAGATCTAATTAATGATGCTCTACACCGCAGTGGGCAGATTGAACGAGGATGTGAAGGTATAGCCTACCTACAGTGCAGTTCCTTCTCACACAGTTCTCCCTTACTCCTTCCTGTCCTTTGCATCATTGCACATTTCCTTCATAGAGCATCTGGCTGGTTCACTCCTGTTGTGACATTCCCCCACTGCCATCCACCAGCCATCTACCATGTTTGTAATCATCTTGGATGTGCAACATGTGAAAAGGTGAGAGCTGATTGTCAGAGGCCCTGTGATGCCATGTAGCATTTTTGTTTGCTACGTTATGTCTCCGTCAGTGTAGGGATATCAGCTATAGTACGCGTGATGGTTGACTGCTGTGTCATTTTTCTTATGGAGTTGCTGATGATGCTAATCATCTTTACTATTTACTTTTCTCAAATTGAATTTCAGCAGACGTGCTCAGCTCTAGGGTGCCTTCAGCCAAAAAGCCTCACATAAATAAATGAGAAAGTATCATGCCATAAGATAAAACATATATTTCAGCAGCAGATGGAGCTCTGCATGAGAGGCTACTGATGGAAAGTTGCCAAAGGCTACATTTTAAAAGACACTTTGTGAAAAGTGGGGAGATTTGCCTAAAATGTGTAGTGGTCAAGAACAGTTGAACACCTTGGATTTCAAGTTCTTCTGTATCCAAGAACCAGGTCTCCATCATCTGAATTCAATCCATCAGGTTTTGTAGAGCATTCATGTCCCTTGGAAGATTTCCATCTCTGAAGGGACAAGTAAATCTTTCTCTATAACAGCATAATATTTTAGGAAAGGCCAGTGCACAAGTTATCTGAATACATAAGACTGATATAGATTCAGAAAGCAGGCGGCATGCATACTCATCAGTTAATGTGCTTCATTTCCCAGCATGTCAGCTCTTATTAACTACTGGGCTGTAATATCGGTCGTTATAGTCCAATGCTGTTTCAGAACATCAGGGCTTTGGTCATCTTCTACCAAATACACCATCTCTCTTTGAGACCAGTTTCTCCCTTTCATCACATATTTTGAGAACAATTTGAACATTTGACTATTACTCGGAAGCCCTTGGAAATGTTTCTACATTGTAAATTAGCCTAAGAGACTGATGACAGGAGACAAAATGAAGGAGACTAAAACATTACTTTCCAGAGAATGCCATTTCCTCTAACATATCAAAAGAACTTATGTGCCAAGAGATTATGATTTAGTAAAACCTGCCAAGATCTTTAGCCAAGAGTTCATGTCATTGCCCATAGGTAACATCAGGGAGGTAACTGTGACCAGTTGTCCAAACCTGTGAAATTTGTATGAATTGTCACACTTCTCCCAGTTTCCCTCATATTCTATGGGGTGTCATATTATATGGTTTTCTCTGCATAATCATTACTTTATGAGTTATTCTATGTTCTGGAGTACCTTCCATTGGTCTTCTGTGGAGGATGAAAGCCCCATGGCTGCTGAATTGTGCTTCCCACCCATCTTCCACATTTTATATAGCTTTGGAATAAATAATATTCTGCTTTGAGACAATCTTCTTTTTGTGCTGTGTTTTGATTTGGAGTAGAAAATAAAATGGTAAAGAAAGCTCTGATTGATGAGAGCTTTGCAAAGGCACTTATCCCTTGAGAGGACATGAACTTGAGAAGAAGACACGTGAGAGATCTCTCAGTAGCAGGCAAGATCAATAGAACACTGCAGCCCTTGAGAAATCCCATTAAGAAAAAACTCATCATTTGTATTTAGAAGCTTGGAATTAGTAGAGGCTTTTTTCTTCTTCACATGGAAAATTCCTCTCAACCTTTTAATGGCTCCAGCATCTCTTTCTGAGAGATTACACTCCTCTGTACTGGAATGAAGCTGCCTTCTGATAATCCCATAGGCGAACAACAAGAGAAACCACACATCCTTAAAGCACTGTAAAGACTATCTAATCTATCATGGCATAAGCATCAGTGGGCTGGAATCCACTTCACATATACACAGTGATTGCTGCTGGTGGTGGCAGTGTAAACAGTGAGTTCAGTGGGAAGCTACATGCATAAAGTACAGAGAGTGATAATTACCTTGATAACAATGGTTATTAATAAAATGGATGTTGGGCAATAACACAAAAAAGATGAACCAACACACATTTGTTGTTGTTAGCCGCAAAGTCGCATCTGACCCATCGCGACCCCATGGACAACATTCCTCCAGGCCTTCCTGTCCTCCACCATCCCCCAGAGTCCACTTAAGCTCACGCCAACTGCTTCAGTGACTCCATCCAGCCACCTCATTCTCTGCCATTTCCTTCTTCATTTGCCATCTATTGTTCCCAGCATTAGGGTCTTCTCCAGTGAGTCCTTCCTTCTCATTCGGTGGCCAAAGTATTTGAGTTTCATCTTCAGTATCTGGCCTTCTAAAGAGCAGTCAGATTGATCTTCTCTTGGACCGACTAGTTTGATTGCCTTGCAGGCCAAGGGACTCACAACCAACACACATAGTACTTAAAAAAATATCAACCAGAACTAGAATCCTTGTTCAAGTGATGGAGGCAGGGTTGAACTTTTTGATGAATTGTAGCACTGCTGTTTCATGTCTGTCTGTGAAGTTGCTTTGTTCAAGAATACCTACTTTAAGGGCAGTTGCATTATCAAGACCAAAGTGTTTTTTCCCTTTTGCTACCTGTGTTAATCAGCTCAACATTGCAAGGATATTCATTTTATTGCCCAGCAATTCTTTGTGAATGGCTGCTGTCGATAAGGTAAATATCACTGACTGTACCTGCATTTCCAGCTCACCTCACTGTGGGAAAGAACCTCCTCCCAACAGGTTTTTATATGCATGTGTAACTTGTTGTAACCTTCATGCACCTTATGAAGTGGACTTGAGCCTATGAAAGCTTATGCTACAAAGTATTTGTTCTTCTTTAGAGAGTCAGCAAGTCTTCTTGTTGCTTTTGCTGTAGCATACTGTCATGAAAAGAATAGAAAAGGCTGTTATTGTGTGAACCCAGAACATTCAAATCCAGAGCACTGAAATATACTGGTTGTGCTACTTGCACACACTGAGAGACAGTTCTCTTTTTGCCCTCATGGACCACAGTGTTGCAACTGGTTTAGCAAAGATCACAATACTTCAGGACTTTAATCCTGAATATACCATCATTTCTTTATGACCTTTGAACACCCATTCACATCTTTAGATGCCCAGTTCCTCTGGATGCAACTGGTCTGCAGTGTTACAAACCAAAGAGGCAGCTGCAGTTTAGTGGAAGATGCCTGATGCAGGCACTTGTGACTGCTCAGAATGGGCTTTCCATATTCTAAAATAAATATAATTTTAAGAAAGAATGATCATTTAGCTCTCTGGCACCAGGAGGATTTCTGGCATGCTACTGATTATACAATTGCCTTCTTAATTAACAGTAACTGCATTTAAAAGGACAAATACAGCTTCATGCAGCAGTCTCTTAAGTGTGGCAGTGGAACACATACTTCGCATGCATAAGGACCCTGATTCAGTCTGTGGCAACTTCAGATCAAAGATCTCAGGCATCCAGAACTAGAACCTTTTTCTCAGACCCTGGGGAGCCTCTGGGAGTCAGTGGAGGCTGATGCAGTCTAGATGACAATGCAGCATAAGGTCACTCCTTGTGTCTGAGGCCCATTTGGTAGAACAACGTTGGCTCTTTCAAACCAGCAAGAAGATGAAGCCTTTTATATTATAGCGGAACAGCCATTAGCTGGTGTAGGCAAGAAACAAGTAGCCATTTAACGCAGGGTTGGGCAACTTGCCCTCCTGATGTTCTTGCGCTGTCACTCCCATCCTCCTTAGCCAGCATAGCCAATGGCGGGGAGTTGAAGTCCTACAACATCTAGAGGTCCACAACTCTCCTACCGGTTATCTCATGTATGCATTGTCAGGTGACGGATAATATTGTGGAAGAAAGAACATGGAAGAAAGCACAAGTTATATGCAGGCTAGTCCAGGTTGGAAGCTTTAGATGAAAATTGGTATTATGGAATAGCGGAGATAGTGGATGCTCTTCTGGATCTGAAGTCGTTGCTTCTCTGCTCTTCTGCCACGGTTGACACAGAAGGTTTTGGCAGCTACTCTGTTATCCTGTTAAAGGTTTGATCAGTGCTTTGCAGGCAGCTCATATATTTCTGAAAAGGTATTTTAGCAAAGCCAAGGGCTTTGCCACATCCAGCTGTGAGAAATCCAAGCCTTAGCTGGTGGTTATCACACAGCCCTCAGGTATTCAGCTGTGGGATGACATAATCATCTGAGAGGCATTTAAGGGAAAAAGGCTGCATCAAATCATATGTTCTAGGCATTCATTATATATAAGCCTGGGACCTTCCATAAGAAAACAACTTGCTTAAAAAAGGTACACAGTGTTGGCTGGAGCAGTTGTAGTAAAGAACATTGCTCAATATCAAAACCATGGAATCCTTTGAAAATAATTTTATTTGAAAATAGGAGGAAAAGGCAAACAGATTTCATGTAGAGATGTGTTTATTTTAAGAACACAGAACCTGTCCTCTCTATCTAGATGGGTCCAAGGGTGTGTCAAAGAACTAAAATCTGATTTAAAAGAAACAAACAAAAAACAAAGCATAGAAATAGTGACAGATGATATACAAAAGTAACATGACAATGTACAAGGTCGGCAAAAATTATAACAACCCCTTCTTTATTTTCAAAAGGAAGCCCCATAGGACACAATAAAACAATAATAATGAGCACCAGTGTGGTGTGGTGATGAGAGTGCTGGACTAGTGACGTGAGAAATTCTAGTCCCTCATCCAGGTTCTAGTCCCTACCCAGCCATGAAGTGCCTTCGGTGACTTTGAGCCAGTCACTCAGCCTATCCTACCTCACAGGGTTGTTGTAAGGATAAAATGGTGCTATGTGAGCAGCCTTGAGTTCCCACAAGATGAATAAAGTGAGATATAAGTACAATGTAATAATAATATAATAATATTTTATATTGTTATCTTTTGTATTTTAATTTATGTTGTGAGCCGCCCCGAGGCTTCGGCGAATGGGGCGGCATAG